AGAGAGAGAGAGAGGTGTAGAGGTAGAGGGAGAGAGAGAGAGAGGTGGAGAGGAGAGAGAGAGAGAGAGAGAGGTGGAGAGAGAGAGAGAGAGAGAGAGGTGTAGAGAGAGAGAGAGAGAGAGAGAGAGGTGTAGAGAGAGAGAGAGAGAGAGAGGTGTAGAGGGAGAGAGAGAGAGAGAGGTAGAGAGGTGTAGAGGTAGAGGAGAGAGGTAGAGAGAGGTGTAGAGAGAGAGAGAGAGAGAGAGAGAGAGGTGTAGAGAGGTGTAGAGAGGGTGTAGAGAGGGGGAGAGAGGTAGAGGAGAGAGGTAGAGGGAGAGAGGTAGAGGGAGAGGGAGAGAGAGATAGAGGGAGAGAGAGGAGAGGGAGAGGGAGAGAGGTAGAGGGAGAGAGGTGTAGAGAGAGAGAGAGAGAGAGAGAGAGAGAGAGAGAGAGAGAGAGATGTAGAGAGAGGTGTAGAGAGAGAGGTTGTAGAGAGAGGTGTAGAGAGAGAGAGAGAGAGAGGTAGAGAGGTGTAGAGAGGTGTAGAGAGGTAGAGAGGTGTAGAGAGGTAGAGAGAGGTAGAGGTAGAGAGAGGTAGAGGTAGAGAGAGGTAGAGAGAGGTAGAGGTAGAGAGAGGTAGAGGTAGAGAGAGGTAGAGGTGTAGAGAGGTAGAGGGAGAGAGATAGAGGGAGAGAGGTAGAGGGGTGTAGAGAGAGAGAGAGAGAGAGAGGTAGAGAGGTGTAGAGAGAGAGAGAGAGAGAGAGAGAGAGAGAGAGGTGGAGAGAGAGAGAGAGAGAGAGAGAGAGGTGGAGAGAGGTGTAGAGAGGTGGAGAGGTGTAGAGGTAGAGAGGTGTAGAGGTAGAGAGAGGTAGAGGTAGAGAGGGGTAGAGGTAGAGAGGTAGAGAGGTAGGAGAGAGGTAGAGGTAGAGAGAGGTAGAGGTTGTAGAGAGAGGTAGAGGTGTAGAGAGGTAGAGGGAGAGAGATAGAGGGAGAGAGAGGGTAGAGAGAGATAGAGGGAGAGAGGTAGAGAGAGATAGAGAGAGAGAGGTAGAGAGAGGTAGAGGTAGAGGGAGAGAGGTAGAGAGGTGTAGAGAGAGAGAGAGAGAGAGAGAGAGAGAGAGAGAGAGAGAGAGAGAGAGAGAGGTGGAGAGAGGTGTAGAGAGGTAGAGAGGTGTAGAGAGGTGGAGAGGTGTAGAGGTAGAGAGGTGTAGAGGTAGAGAGAGGTAGAGGTAGAGAGAGGTAGAGGTAGAGAGGTAGAGGTAGAGAGAGGTAGAGGTGTAGAGAGAGGTAGAGGTGTAGAGAGGTAGAGGGAGAGAGATAGAGGGAGAGAGGTAGAGAGAGATAGAGGGAGGAGAGGTAGAGAGAGATAGAGGAGAGAGGTTAGAGAGAGGTAGAGGTAGAGGGAGAGAGGTAGAGAGGTGTAGAGAGAGAGAGAGAGAGAGAGGTGTAGAGAGAGAGAGAGAGAGAGAGAGAGAGAGAGGTGGAGAGAGAGAGAGAGAGAGAGAGAGAGGTGGAGAGAGGTGTAGAGAGGTAGAGAGGTGTAGAGAGGTGGAGAGGTGTAGAGGTAGAGAGGTGTAGAGGTAGAGAGAGGTAGAGGTAGAGAGAGGTAGAGGTTAGAGAGGTGTAGAGGTAGAGAGAGGTAGAGGTAGAGAGAGGTAGAGGTGTAGAGAGAGGTAGAGGTGTAGAGAGGTAGAGGGAGAGAGATAGAGGGAGAGGAGAGGTAGAGAGAGATAGAGGGAGAGAGGTAGAGAGAGGTAGAGGTAGAGGGAGAGAGGTAGAGAGAGGTGTAGAGAGAGAGAGAGAGAGAGAGGTAGAGAGGTGTAGAGAGAGAGAGAGAGAGAGAGAGAGAGAGGTGGAGAGAGAGAGAGAGAGAGAGAGAGAGAGAGAGGTGGAGAGAGGTGTAGAGAGGTAGAGAGGTGTAGAGAGGTGGAGAGGTGTAGAGGTAGAGAGGTGTAGAGGTAGAGAGAGGTAGAGGTAGAGAGAGGTAGAGGTAGAGAGGTAGAGAGAGGTAGAGGTAGAGAGAGGTAGAGGTGTAGAGAGAGGTAGAGGTGTAGAGAGGTAGAGGGAGAGAGATAGAGGGAGAGAGAGGTAGAGAGAGATAGAGGGAGAGAGGTAGAGAGAGATAGAGGGAGAGAGGTAGAGAGAGATAGAGGGAGAGAGGTAGAGAGAGGTAGAGGTAGAGGGAGAGAGGTAGAGAGGTGTAGAGAGAGAGAGAGAGAGAGAGAGAGGTGGAGAGAGAGAGAGAGAGAGAGAGAGAGAGAGAGAGAGAGGTGGAGAGAGGTGTAGAGAGGTTAGAGAGGTGTAGAGAGGTGGAGAGGTGTAGAGGTAGAGAGGTGTAGAGGTAGAGAGAGGTAGAGGTAGAGAGAGGTAGAGGTAGAGAGAGGTAGAGAGGTAGAGGTAGAGGTAGAGAGAGGTAGAGAGGAGGTAGAGGTGTAGAGAGAGGTAGAGGTGTAGAGGAGGTAGAGGGAGAGAGATAGAGGGAGAGAGAGGTAGAGAGAGATAGAGGGAGAGAGGTTAGAGAGAGATAGAGGGAGAGAGGTAGAGGAGAGAGAGAGAGAGAGAGAGTGGTGGAGGAGAGAGAGAGAGAGAGAGAGAGAGAGGTGGAGAGAGGTGTAGAGAGGTAGAGAGGTGTAGTGAGGTGGAGAGGTGTAGAGGTAGAGAGGTGTAGAGGTAGAGAGAGGTAGAGGTAGAGAGGTAGAGAGAGGTAGAGGAGGTAGAGAGAGGTAGAGGTGTAGAGAGAGAGGTGTAGAGAGGTTGAGGGAGAGTGAGGGAGAGAGAGGTAGTGAGAGATAGAGGGAGAGAGGTAGAGAGAGGTAGAGGTGAGGGAGAGAGGTAGAGAGAGGTGTAGAGAGGTAGAGGTAGAGAGAGAGAGGTGTAGAGAGGTGTAGAGAGAGAGGTAGAGGTAGAGAGAGAGGTGTAGAGAGGTGTAGAGAGAGAGGTAGAGGTAGAGAGAGAGAGGTGTAGAGAGGTGTAGAGAGAGAGGTAGAGGTTAGGTAGAGAGAGAGAGGTGTAGAGAGGTAGAGAGGTGTAGAGAGGTAGAGAGGTGTAGAGGTGTAGAGAGGTGTAGAGGTAGAGAGGTAGGGTAGAGAGGTGTAGAGGTTAGAGAGAGGTTAGAGAGAGGTAGAGGTAGAGAGGTAGAGAGAGGTAGAGGTAGAGAGAGGTAGAGGTATAGAGAGGTAGAGGTGTAGAGAGGTAGAGGGAGAGAGATAGAGGGAGAGAGAGGTAGAGAGAGAGAGAGAGAGGTAGAGAGAGATTAGAGGAGAGAGAGAGAGAGAGAGGTTAGAGAGAGAGAGAGGTAGAGAGAGAGAGGTAGAGGTAGAGGTAGAGAGAGAGAGGTAGAGGTAGAGAGAGAGAGAGAGAGAGGTGTAGAGGTGTAGAGGTAGAGAGGTAGAGAGAGAGAGAGAGAGAGGTGTAGAGGTAGAGAGAGAGAGAGAGAGAGAGGTGTAGAGGTGAGAGAGAGAGAGAGAGAGAGAGGTGTAGAGGTAGAGAGAGAGAGAGAGAGAGGAGAGAGGTGTAGAGGTAGAGAGAGAGAGAGAGAGAGGTGTAGAGAGAGAGAGAGAGAGAGAGTGTGTAGAGGGAGAGAGAGAGAGGTGTAGAGGTAGAGGTGTAGAGAGAGAGAGAGAGAGAGGTGTAGAGGGAGAGAGAGAGAGGTGTAGAGGTAGAGAGAGAGAGGGGGAGAGGTAGAGAGAGAGGTGTAGAGAGAGGTAGAGGGGGAGAGGTAGAGAGAGAGGTGTAGAGAGAGGTAGAGGTAGAGAGGTAGAGAGAGGGATGTAGAGGTAGAGAGGTAGAGAGTGGGAGAGAGGAGGGAGAGAGGGAGAGTAGGAGGGAGAGAGAGAGAGAGGTGTAGAGAGGTGTAGAGAGAGGTAGAGAGAGAGGTAGAGAGAGAGAGGTAGAGGGAGAGAGAGAGAGAGGTAGAGAGAGGTAGAGAGAGGTAGAGAGAGGTAGAGAGTAGAGGTAGAGAGGTAGAGAGGTAGAGAGAGGTAGAGGTTAGAGAGAGATAGTGGGTGATTGAGGTAGAGATAGATAGGGTAGATAGAGGTAGAGAGTGATAGAGGTAGAGAGGTAGAGAGAGGTAGGGTGTGTGAGAGTTGAGGTTAGAGAGAGTGTAGGAGAGAGAGAGGAGAGGATACGAGGAGAGAGAGAGAGGTAGAGAGAGAGAGGGATAGAGAGAGGTAGAGAGAGAGAGGTAGAGAGAGAGAGAGAGGAGAGATATATATAGAGAGAGAGAGAGAGAGAGATAGAGAGAGGTAGAGAGAGAGAGTGAGAGGTAGAGAGAGAGGTAGAGAGAGAGGGGTAGAGAGAGAGAGGTAGAGAGAGAGGTAGAGAGGTAGAGAGGTAGGGAGAGAGGTAGGTAGAGAGGTAGAGAGGTAGAGAGAGAGGTATAGAGAGAGGTATAGAGAGAGGTATAGAGGTAGAGAGAGAGGTATAGAGGTAGAGAGAGAGGTATAGAGGTAGAGAGAGGTAGGTAGAGAGAGAGAGAGAGGTAGAGAGTGAGAGTGAGGTAGAGAGAGAGAGAGAGAGAGAGAGAGCGAGCATATGAAACTGGTCTATGTAAAAGACAAACTTTAGTTATCTGCTGTCGAGGATCAAAAACACTAAAGTAAAAGAGAGGTATCAGCAACTCCAGACAGAAACACGTCCTGCAGGCCCAACAGCTGTTTTTGTTGTGAACCCATCCACCTGGACCCGGCTCTGGTCTCCCCATCCTAATGACGTGTTTTCCATCAAAGAAACGGTCTAAAATTGATCCTCCTAATTTCATTTTGCTCCTGTTCACAGCACTCTGGTCCTTTTCCTGGCGGCACTAAAAGCTTCTCCTCTCCTTCCACGGCCGTCTCTGCAGCTGGAGAGCACAGCACCACGCTCGTTTGGTCTTAAACCGCCTGAAGGGAAGCTGACGTCTCTTCCTGTTTCCTCTCCGATGACTTATCAGGCTCCTCTGCTCTCCGGCCTACACCCGTTTGTTTTGTCCAAACTTTAAATAAAACTAGATTGTTGCTCAGCTCGTGTCTGTTTACTATGCCGAGGTACTTTTACCCCTGACACGAATGTTTTGGGTCTGTGGGAGGAAACCCATGCACGCACAGGGAGAACGTGCTAACTCTATGCAAAAAGGCCATAGTGAAGATTTGAACCTGCAACCTTTCTTGCTGCAAGGCAGCTGTGAAAACCAACATGTAGAAAAAAAAACAAACCACTTCTGTCCCTAAATCGTCCTGATGGAGCATCAGGGACTAGTACCTTCACCACGCGTCTACTGCCCCCCTGGTGGTGAGGCCTGCTTATTTATTAATGTTTTATATTTTTAAACTATTAAGAATTTTACTTTAAAGTCAAGTAAGAAAAGAGTTTATTTTAGCATATTTAAGTTAATTTGTACCAATCAGGACCTAAAAATGAAAGTAAATCATTAATATAAGAGTTTAAGGCTGCAGGTATAGAGTATTTTAGTACTCGAGTATTTGACGACGATTAAGTAAAAACCGAACAAACAGCAGAATTATAAAAGGCTCTATAACACATTAAACTGGTGTTCCTCTTTCCCAGCTGATGTTTATAGTTAATAAATATTGTGACATATAATCATTAGAGCTGACTGATTTCATTAGCATGTTCGCTAGCAAGCTGCTGGAAATGTTAGCGTTTCATTTCTACTGCTAATGTACTCGTGTACATATGTAATGATGTATGGGTTAGCAACATAATTCAGTCTAACTTGTGTTCAGATGTAAAAGCGTTTGTGGATTACATGCTACAGCAGCTTGCCGTAGACCTTCTGCGGTGGTGTGGAGCAGACTCCCGGTAGCTGCACACATCCACACAACCATCACGGGTTTTTCTGACCTACGCTTTCTCCTGAGAATGCTACCCGCTAGCTTAGCGTTAGCGATTCTGCTCGTAGTTTAGCTCTCGACCCAAACTTGGGGACCTTTTCTCTATTTTTCCTCCACAGCACCTGGCCCCCCACGTAGAGCGCCAGTAAAATGTGTTCTGACACGTTCGATGACTCGTGTCAGGTTATAATTTAGAACCCGGTCAACTGGTCCTGGTGAGGTGTTTTTATTCCACCATTAGCTCATCAGTCCTAACAGAACCATGGACAGGAGAGTGGTGATCCGTGTTGTGGGACTCACCTGGGCCGAGTATTTGGCCCGCAGTACGGCCGGCCTCGCAGCCTTTATCGCAGACCCGCAGCCAGCCGGGCCTGCTCCAGCTCCCTCTTCAGGCGGACCCGCGACTCGTTCGCCTCCTTCATCTTCTTCTCACTCTCAGCTCGCAGACGCTCGATTTCCTTCCTCAGGTTGCGCTTGGCCTCCGTCGCCTCCCGGAGCTTCTCCTTCTTCGCCACCCGCAGGAACTCCAACTCCTTCCAGAGAGGACAGAAGAAGTTAACCAGATGTGAGCGGAGATGTGTGGAAATCTGGCTGGATTCACCGCCAGGTGTTGCCGACAACCTGAGAGTGTTAGTGTTTACTCTGAGCTAAGTCTGGCCGACAGAACCTTTCCTGCATCACTTCTCACGGGAACCCAGCAGCTGGAACAAAAGCCCTCCTAAAGCCCGGCTATCTGCTGCTTCCTCTGAGTCCTGAAGGAGAGGAGCACACGTCCCCCTCGTCCAGGAACCACATCTGGCCTTTCTTCTGCTGCCCCGCGCCGTTTCCTGTCGTAATAAAGCCCGCGATGCTCGTCTGCGTCGTCTCACCTCGGTTAACGCTTACCCCGAGTGTTGAGAACCTACGGCTGGTTTTCTACCTGGATCTGACCTACAGGTGTGTCGTCTAGTCCAGGTTCAGACCTACGGGCGCGTCGTCTAGTCCAGGTTCAGACCTACAGGTGTGTCTTCTAGTCCAGGTTCAGACCTACGGGTGCGTCGTCTAGTCCAGGTTCAGACCTACAGGTGTGTCGTCTAGTCCAGGTTCAGACCTACAGGTGTGTCGTCTAGTCCAGGTTCAGACCTACAGGTGTGTCGTCTAGTCCAGGTTCAGACCTACGGGCACGTCGTCTAGTCCAGGTTCAGACCTAGGGGCGCGTCGTCTAGTCATGGTTCAGACCTACAGGTGTGTCGTCTAGTCATGGTCCAGACCTACGGGTGCGTCGTCTAGTCATGGTCCAGACCTACGGGTGCGTCGTCTAGTCCAGGTCCAGACCTACGGGTGTGTCGTCTAGTCATGGTTCAGACCTACGGGTGCGTCGTCTAGTCCAGGTCCAGACCTACGGGCGCGTCGTCTAGTCCAGGTCCAGACCTACGGGTGTGTCGTCTAGTCCAGGTTCAGACCTACAGGTGTGTCGTCTAGTCCAGGTTCAGACCTACGGGCGCGTCGTCTAGTCCAGGTTCAGACCTAGGGGCGCGTCGTCTAGTCATGGTTCAGACCTACAGGTGTGTCGTCTAGTCATGGTCCAGACCTACGGGTGCGTCGTCTAGTCCAGGTCCAGACCTACGGGTGTGTCGTCTAGTCATGGTTCAGACCTACGGGTGCGTCGTCTAATCCAGGTCCAGACCTACGGGCGCGTCGTCTAGTCCAGGTCCAGACCTACGGGTGTGTCGTCTAGTCCAGGTCCAGACCTACGGGCGCGTCGTCTAGTCCAGGTCCAGACCTACGGGCGCGTCGTCTAGTCCAGGTTCAGACCTAGGGGCGCGTCGTCTAGTCATGGTTCAGACCTACGGGTGTGTCGTCTAGTCCAGGTCCAGACCTACGGGTGTGTCGTCTAGTCATGGTTCAGACCTACGGGTGTGTCGTCTAGTCCAGGTCCAGACCTAGGGGCGCGTCGTCTAGTCATGGTTCAGACCTAGGGGCGCGTCGTCTAGTCATGGTTCAGACCTACGGGTGTGTCGTCTAGTCCAGGTCCAGACCTAGGGGCGCGTCGTCTAGTCATGGTTCAGACCTACGGGTGTGTCGTCTAGTCCAGGTCCAGACCTACAGGTGTGTCGTCTAGTCCAGGTTCAGACCTAGGGGCGCGTCGTCTAGTCATGGTTCAGACCTAGGGGCGCGTCGTCTAGTCATGGTTCAGACCTACGGGTGTTTCATCTAGTCCAGGTCCAGACCTAGGGGCGCGTCGTCTAGTCATGGTTCAGACCTAGGGGCGCGTCGTCTAGTCATGGTTCAGACCTACGGGTGTGTCGTCTAGTCATGGTTCAGACCTAGGGGCGCGTCGTCTAGTCATGGTTCAGACCTAGGGGGCGCGTCGTCTAGTCATGGTTCAGACCTAGGGGCGCGTCGTCTAGTCATGGTTCAGACCTAGGGGCGCGTCGTCTAGTCATGGTTCAGACCTAGGGGCGCGTCGTCTAGTCATGGTTCAGACCTACAGGTGTGTCGTCTAGTCATGGTTCAGACCTACGGGTGTGTCGTCTAGTCATGGTTCAGACCTAGGGGCGCGTCGTCTAGTCATGGTTCAGACCTACGGGTGCGTCGTCTAGTCCAGGTCCAGACCTACGGGCGCGTCGTCTAGTCCAGGTCCAGACCTACGGGTGTGTCGTCTAGTCCAGGTTCAGACCTACAGGTGTGTCGTCTAGTCCAGGTTCAGACCTACGGGCGCGTCGTCTAGTCCAGGTTCAGACCTAGGGGCGCGTCGTCTAGTCATGGTTCAGACCTACAGGTGTGTCGTCTAGTCATGGTCCAGACCTACGGGTGCGTCGTCTAGTCCAGGTCCAGACCTACGGGTGTGTCGTCTAGTCATGGTTCAGACCTAGGGGCGCGTCGTCTAGTCATGGTTCAGACCTACGGGTGCGTCGTCTAGTCCAGGTCCAGACCTACGGGCGCGTCGTCTAGTCCAGGTCCAGACCTACGGGTGTGTCGTCTAGTCCAGGTTCAGACCTACAGGTGTGTCGTCTAGTCCAGGTTCAGACCTACGGGCGCGTCGTCTAGTCCAGGTTCAGACCTAGGGGCGCGTCGTCTAGTCATGGTTCAGACCTACAGGTGTGTCGTCTAGTCATGGTTCAGACCTACGGGTGCGTCGTCTAGTCCAGGTCCAGACCTACGGGCGCGTCGTCTAGTCCAGGTCCAGACCTACGGGTGTGTCGTCTAGTCCAGGTTCAGACCTACAGGTGTGTCGTCTAGTCCAGGTTCAGACCTACGGGCGCGTCGTCTAGTCCAGGTTCAGACCTAGGGGCGCGTCGTCTAGTCATGGTTCAGACCTACAGGTGTGTCGTCTAGTCATGGTCCAGACCTACGGGTGCGTCGTCTAGTCCAGGTCCAGACCTACGGGTGTGTCGTCTAGTCATGGTTCAGACCTACGGGTGCGTCGTCTAGTCCAGGTCCAGACCTACGGGCGCGTCGTCTAGTCCAGGTCCAGTCCTACAGGTGTGTCGTCTAGTCCAGGTCCAGACCTACGGGCGCGTCGTCTAGTCCAGGTCCAGACCTACGGGTGTGTCGTCTAGTCCAGGTCCAGACCTACGGGCGCGTCGTCTAGTCCAGGTCCAGACCTACGGGCGCGTCGTCTAGTCCAGGTTCAGACCTAGGGGCGCGTCGTCTAGTCATGGTTCAGACCTACGGGTGTGTCGTCTAGTCCAGGTCCAGACCTACGGGTGTGTCGTCTAGTCATGGTTCAGACCTACGGGTGTGTCGTCTAGTCCAGGTCCAGACCTAGGGGCGCGTCGTCTAGTCCAGGTCCAGACCTAGGGGCGCGTCGTCTAGTCATGGTTCAGACCTAGGGGCGCGTCGTCTAGTCATGGTTCAGACCTACGGGTGTGTCGTCTAGTCCAGGTCCAGACCTAGGGGCGCGTCGTCTAGTCATGGTTCAGACCTACGGGTGTGTCGTCTAGTCCAGGTCCAGACCTACAGGTGTGTCGTCTAGTCCAGGTTCAGACCTAGGGGCGCGTCGTCTAGTCATGGTTCAGACCTAGGGGCGCGTCGTCTAGTCATGGTTCAGACCTACGGGTGTGTCGTCTAGTCCAGGTCCAGACCTAGGGGCGCGTCGTCTAGTCATGGTTCAGACCTAGGGGCGCGTCGTCTAGTCATGGTTCAGACCTACGGGTGTGTCGTCTAGTCATGGTTCAGACCTAGGGGCGCGTCGTCTAGTCATGGTTCAGACCTAGGGGCGCGTCGTCTAGTCCAGGTTCAGACCTACGGGCGCGTCGTCTAGTCATGGTTCAGACCTAGGGGCGCGTCGTCTAGTCATGGTTCAGACCTAGGGGCGCGTCGTCTAGTCATGGTTCAGACCTACAGGTGTGTCGTCTAGTCATGGTTCAGACCTACGGGTGTGTCGTCTAGTCATGGTTCAGACCTAGGGGCGCGTCGTCTAGTCATGGTTCAGACCTAGGGGCGCGTCGTCTAGTCATGGTTCAGACCTAGGGGCGCGTCGTCTAGTCATGGTTCAGACCTAGGGGCGCGTCGTCTAGTCATGGTTCAGACCTAGGGGCGCGTCGTCTAGTCATGGTTCAGACCTACGGGTGTGTCGTCTAGTCATGGTTCAGACCTACGGGTGTGTCGTCTAGTCCAGGTCCAGACCTAGGGGCGCGTCGTCTAGTCATGGTTCAGACCTAGGGGCGCGTCGTCTAGTCATGGTTCAGACCTACGGGTGTGTCGTCTAGTCCAGGTCCAGACCTAGGGGCGCGTCGTCTAGTCATGGTTCAGACCTAGGGGCGCGTCGTCTAGTCATGGTTCAGACCTACGGGTGTGTCGTCTAGTCATGGTTCAGACCTAGGGGCGCGTCGTCTAGTCATGGTTCAGACCTAGGGGCGCGTCGTCTAGTCATGGTTCAGACCTACGGGTGCGTCGTCTAGTCCAGGTCCAGACCTACGGGCGCGTCGTCTAGTCCAGGTCCAGTCCTACAGGTGTGTCGTCTAGTCCAGGTCCAGACCTACGGGCGCGTCGTCTAGTCCAGGTCCAGACCTACGGGTGTGTCGTCTAGTCCAGGTCCAGACCTACGGGCGCGTCGTCTAGTCCAGGTCCAGACCTACGGGCGCGTCGTCTAGTCCAGGTTCAGACCTAGGGGCGCGTCGTCTAGTCATGGTTCAGACCTACGGGTGTGTCGTCTAGTCCAGGTCCAGACCTACGGGTGTGTCGTCTAGTCATGGTTCAGACCTACGGGTGTGTCGTCTAGTCCAGGTCCAGACCTAGGGGCGCGTCGTCTAGTCATGGTTCAGACCTAGGGGCGCGTCGTCTAGTCATGGTTCAGACCTACGGGTGTGTCGTCTAGTCCAGGTCCAGACCTAGGGGCGCGTCGTCTAGTCATGGTTCAGACCTACGGGTGTGTCGTCTAGTCCAGGTCCAGACCTACAGGTGTGTCGTCTAGTCCAGGTTCAGACCTAGGGGCGCGTCGTCTAGTCATGGTTCAGACCTAGGGGCGCGTCGTCTAGTCATGGTTCAGACCTACGGGTGTGTCGTCTAGTCCAGGTCCAGACCTAGGGGCGCGTCGTCTAGTCATGGTTCAGACCTAGGGGCGCGTCGTCTAGTCATGGTTCAGACCTACGGGTGTGTCGTCTAGTCATGGTTCAGACCTAGGGGCGCGTCGTCTAGTCATGGTTCAGACCTAGGGGCGCGTCGTCTAGTCCAGGTTCAGACCTACGGGCGCGTCGTCTAGTCATGGTTCAGACCTAGGGGCGCGTCGTCTAGTCATGGTTCAGACCTAGGGGCGCGTCGTCTAGTCATGGTTCAGACCTACAGGTGTGTCGTCTAGTCATGGTTCAGACCTACGGGTGTGTCGTCTAGTCATGGTTCAGACCTAGGGGCGCGTCGTCTAGTCATGGTTCAGACCTAGGGGCGCGTCGTCTAGTCATGGTTCAGACCTAGGGGCGCGTCGTCTAGTCATGGTTCAGACCTAGGGGCGCGTCGTCTAGTCATGGTTCAGACCTAGGGGCGCGTCGTCTAGTCATGGTTCAGACCTACGGGTGTGTCGTCTAGTCATGGTTCAGACCTACGGGTGTGTCGTCTAGTCCAGGTCCAGACCTAGGGGCGCGTCGTCTAGTCATGGTTCAGACCTAGGGGCGCGTCGTCTAGTCATGGTTCAGACCTACGGGTGTGTCGTCTAGTCCAGGTCCAGACCTAGGGGCGCGTCGTCTAGTCATGGTTCAGACCTAGGGGCGCGTCGTCTAGTCATGGTTCAGACCTACGGGTGTGTCGTCTAGTCATGGTTCAGACCTAGGGGCGCGTCGTCTAGTCATGGTTCAGACCTAGGGGCGCGTCGTCTAGTCATGGTTCAGACCTAGGGGCGCGTCGTCTAGTCATGGTTCAGACCTAGGGGCGCGTCGTCTAGTCATGGTTCAGACCTACAGGTGTGTCGTCTAGTCATGGTTCAGACCTACGGGTGTGTCGTCTAGTCATGGTTCAGACCTAGGGGCGCGTCGTCTAGTCATGGTTCAGACCTAGGGGCGCGTCGTCTAGTCATGGTTCAGACCTAGGGGCGCGTCGTCTAGTCATGGTTCAGACCTAGGGGCGCGTCGTCTAGTCATGGTTCAGACCTAGGGGCGCGTCGTCTAGTCATGGTTCAGACCTACGGGTGTGTCGTCTAGTCATGGTTCAGACCTACGGGTGTGTCGTCTAGTCATGGTTCAGACCTAGGGGCGCGTCGTCTAGTCATGGTTCAGACCTAGGGGCGCGTCGTCTAGTCATGGTTCAGACCTAGGGGCGCGTCGTCTAGTCATGGTTCAGACCTACAGGTGTGTCGTCTAGTCCAGGTTCAGACCTAGGGGCGCGTCGTCTAGTCATGGTTCAGACCTACGGGTGTGTCGTCTAGTCCAGGTCCAGACCTACAGGTGCGTCGTCTAGTCATGGTCCAGACCTACGGGTGCGTCGTCTAGTCCAGGTCCAGACCTACGGGTGTGTCGTCTAGTCATGGTTCAGACCTACGGGTGCGTCGTCTAGTCCAGGTTCAGACCTACGGGCGCGTCGTCTAGTCATGGTTCAGACCTACGGGTGTGTCGTCTAGTCCAGGTCCAGACCTAGGGGCGCGTCGTCTAGTCATGGTTCAGACCTACAGGTGTGTCGTCTAGTCCAGGTTCAGACCTACGGGCACGTCGTCTAGTCCAGGTTCAGACCTAGGGGCGCGTCGTCTAGTCATGGTTCAGACCTACGGGTGTGTCGTCTAGTCCAGGTCCAGACCTACAGGTGTGTCGTCTAGTCATGGTCCAGACCTACGGGTGCGTCGTCTAGTCCAGGTCCAGACCTACGGGTGTGTCGTCTAGTCATGGTTCAGACCTACGGGTGCGTCGTCTAGTCCAGGTTCAGACCTACGGGCGCGTCGTCTAGTCCAGGTTCAGACCTACGGGTGTGTCGTCTAGTCCAGGTTCAGACCTACGGGCGCGTCGTCTAGTCCAGGTCCAGACCTACAGGTGTGCATCGTTACCTGCTGAAGGCTGCGTTTGGCCTGCAGGGCCGACCCCAGCTTCTCCTCCTGCTTCACTCTCATCTTGACGATCTCGTGCAGAAACTTCTCTTTGGACTCTTTGGAGTCCAGCCCGCTGTCCAGAGCTTGTCTCAGGCTCTCCAGCTCTGACTCCAGTCCCAGCTCCAGTGGCGCCACTGTGGTGCTGATGGGCGGAGCTGCAGGGGCGGTGCACTCGGCCAACATGACGGTGCAGACGGGCCCCGTGGCGCCCGGCGAGCTCAGATCCTTGGCTGAGCTGCTGGAGGAGGTGAAGGACGGCGAGGACAGGGAGGACAGAGACGAGGTGACTGAAAGACAGAGATCTGAGATGTGAAACCGCCGTGCTGCTCTGGAGAACAAACCAGCGGCTGAAGTGTTGCTTACATTCGTCGCGGCTCTCCACCTCTATCTCCACCTCTGAGTCTTTGTCGTCCGGCAGCAGCTTGTTGGCGGCCGGGGTCGGGGGGCAGCTGACCTCTGGCACCAGCTCCTCTGGAGCTCTTCTCTTACGAGGCCTGGAGTTGGCGCTCTCGCTCGGGGGCTCGCCGCCGCTCGGGTGGGAGGTGCTGGGCACCGACGGGGACATGGGCCCCATCTTCCCCAAGGGCAGTGCCGTGAGGGCCACATTGGGGGCCACGGCGCTCTCGAGGCTCTTGTAGTTGTAGAAGCTGAAGGAGAAACAAACGGTTCAGTTACTCGATGTCTGAGGACGTCCTTTGGGCCGTCTGCACCAATCGAGCGATACAGAATCAAACTTTACGTTTTTATATCAGTTAAAGGTGCAATACAGGTGCTGGCCAGTAAATTAGAATATCATCAAAAGGTTGAAAATATTTCAGTAATTCCATTCAAAACGTGAAACTTGTACATTATATTCATGCAATGCACACAGACCAATGTATTTCCGATGTTTATTACGTTTAAATTTGATATTTATAGGTGACAACCAATGAAAACATCAAATCTGGTATCTCAGAAAATTAGAATATTCTAAAGGCCAATGAAAAAATGTTTGTTTCTCTAATGTTGGCCAACTGAAAAGAATGAACATGAAAAGAATGTGCATGTATAGCACTCAATACTTAGTCGGGGCTCCTTTTGCCTCAATAACTGCAGTAATGCGGCGTGGCATGGACTCGATCAGTCTGTGGCACTGCTCAGGTGTTATGAGAGCCCAGGTTGCTCTGATAGTCGTCTTCAGCTCCTCTGCATTGTTGGGTCTAGCGTATTGCATCCTCCGCTTCACAATACCCCATAGATTTTCTATGGGGTTAAGGTCAGGCGAGTTTGCTGGCCAATCAAGGACAGGGATACCATGGTCCTTGAACCAGGTGCTGGTGGTTTTGGCACTGTGTGCAGGTGCCAAGTCCTGTTGAAAGGTGAAGTCTGCATCCCCATAAAGTTGGTCAGCAGCAGGAAGCATGAAGTGCTCTAAAACTTCCTGGTAGACGGCTGCATTGACCCTGGACCTCAGGAAACAGAGTGGGCCAACACCGGCAGATGACATGGCACCCCACACCATCACTGACGGTGGAAACTTTACACTGGACCTCATGCAACGTGGATTCTGTGCTTCTCCGCTCTTCCTCCAGACTCTGGGTCCTTGATTTCCAAAGGAAATGCAGAACTTGCTTTCATCAGAAAACATAACTTTGGACCACTCAGCATCAGTCCAGTCCTTTTTGTCCTTGGCCCAGGCGAGACGCTTCTTGCGCTGTTTCATGTTCAAGAGTGGCTTGACACACGGAATGCGACACCTGAATCCCATGTCTTTCATGAGTCTCCTCGTGGTGGTTCTTGAAGCGCTGACTCCAGCTGCAGTCCACTCTTTGTGGATCTCCCCCACATTTTTGAATGGGTTTGTCGTCACAATTCTCTGCAGGGTGCGGTTATCCCTAGAGCTTGTACACTTTTTTCTACCACATTTTTTCCGTCCCTTCGCCTGTCTGTTAATGTGCTTGAACACAGAGCTCTGCGAACAGCCAGCTTCTTTAGCAATCACCTTTTGTGTCTTGCCCTCCTTGTGCAAGGTGTCAATGATTGTCTTTTGGACAGCTGTTAAGTCAGAAGTCTTCCCCATGATTGTGGTGCCTTCAAAACAAGACTGAGGGACCTTTTAAAGGCCTTTGCAGGTGTTTTGAGTAAATCAGCTGCTTAGAGTGGCAGCAGGTGTCTTCTATATTCAGCCTTTTCAGAATATTCTAATTTTTTGAGATACCAAATTTGGAGTTTTCATTAGTTGTCACTTATGAATATCAAATTTAAATGTAATGAACATTGGAAATACATTGGTCTGTGTGCATTGCATGAATATAATGTACATGTTTCACGTTTTGAATGGAATTACTGAAATATTTTCAACCTTTTGATGATATTCTAATTTACTGGCCAGCACCTGTATGTAAGAATGTAGTGGGAATTCTGCTGTGGGAAAATCCCAAGAGTCTGATGTCATGTAGGAAGGAAGGTTCTACTGAAACATGCTTCTCTCCTTTCATAACAAAGGAAGGAGGGACGCAACTACTATTTACCATGGGGGGGGGGGGGGGCCCTAACGCTGCCGCGCCGACGACTAAAATCTCCAGAATGGTTTAAAGTGGTTGCAGTAACCAAGTTTTACCACAGGATGTCTTGTACTACGTTTCTACATAATGCACCTTTAATGCTCCTTATTTCAACAATAAAACTAAAACAACCCACGTCTCCCTCCAGTTTAACCCTTTGGTTGCTTTAACTGAACACAATGCAGCATTTTTCTCCCACTTCAGCAGAAACTGGGCCAGATCAGCGGTGCAGCGCCGAGCCAAGTGGGTGCCCACAGCGTGCGTGCGTGCGTGCGTGTGTGTGTGTGTGAGTGTGTGAATGCAGGCGTGTGGGAGGCTGCGGTACAGTCAGACTTGACCAATGTGACACCTGCCCACCCAGACGAGAGAGCGAGCTTCATGTTCAGCAGAACCAAACGCTGAAGCTGCTGAAGTCTGGGTGTTTGGGGTCCATGGTGGATCTGGGCTCACCTGTCTCTGAGCAGGGCCAGAGGATGCGTGGATGGTTCTTTATCTCCAGCAGAGACGTGGGGGGACCAGGGTCTGAAGGCTGAGGGCCTCTGCCTGCCGTTAATCCCCTGAAAACACAACAAACATCCTTACTGACCTGTTATGGAGGGACGAGCCACTTCCTGCAGCGGGGGAACGTTTTAGCTTTTGGGAGCAGAAACATGCATGAATCTGTTATGGAGGTTATGTTTGTGAGCTCGGTGCCAGGCAGGAAGCACCCGCTCCGCTCCGGCAGCCTCGTCCCAAAATCTTTTATAATATTACACGTCGTCTCATCAACTGAATCACATCATCGTCCTCCTGACCTTGTTGGGGGCGGCGAGGGACTGGAGCCAGTCGTGCTGCTTCTCCTTGGCTGTCAGCAGGGACTGGGACGGGACGTCTTCGAGTTTGGACTTCTTCAGCGGGACGGGATCGGACACCTGAAGAAGGAAACAAGTTTAAAGGGAGGGGACATATTTTAGCTTTTCACACAATGAGCCGTCTGTGCTAATGTGCCTTTTGTGATGTCACAAACAGGGACGGTTTCAAACGGCCTGTTTTAGGCTGATGGCTCACATCCCCAGGAGTCTGCAGATGAGCCAGAGCTGGTTTGTTCCACGCACAGTGAACACACCGTATTCAGCTGCTGGTGGACGTACCTAACGCTAACCAATAATCAGGTGTGTGTGTCTATCTTTCTATTTATGGAAAACACACACACACACACACACACACACACAGTGTGGATCCAATCACAGCTAGGTGTTTGCACATGAGCAGCCAAGAGAAAACACACGAGGTGACTGGGGCAGAGTGTGTGTGTGTGTGTGTGTGTGTGTGTGTGTGTGTGTGTGTGTGTGTGTGTGTGTGTGTGTGTGTGTGTGTGTGACCCCTACAGACAGACAAACAGAGCTTTGTCACCATGACCTCAGCCTCCTCCAGCTGTGGCTGTCACTAACTGACACACACACACACACACACACATGCGCACACACACACACACATGCGCACACACACACACCCTCTAAATGATGTAAGATGGTAACATTCACTCATCTGGAACATAAAATCATTCGTTCTTAACACGGTTTATTGGTTATTAATTATTACTCCACTAAACCTGAACTAAGCCTCGCTGATCGGCATTCGCGTCTCTGAGGTTAGACTGTTTTCTCAGTAGTGACACCTACAGGTCATGAGGAGAAAAGCGCCGCCGCCATAGCGCGGTCTGACTGATCGTTTCACATTAAAGCTCAGCAGCAACACTGAAACCATGTTTCTCCTGAGGAGCGAGAGGAAGCAGCTGGTCCAGTCCGGTCCAGACCAGCCGCGTCCTGCGAGGTGTCAACAGGTGGTGACACGGGGTCAGAGACACCCCCGCTACTCTGGCAGAGCGTCGGACCACATGTCGGTGAAACTAGAGCCACCCTCGGAGAGAAGTGGCTCGACTAGACGGGAGGACAGTCCTGACGGGCCGTCCTCTCTCCGCTACGGTCCCAGCGGACACCGCCACCACTCGACGACTACTAGAGCATCAGAGCCAAAAAGACCCCCTCACATGTCTTTTATCCAGGCAGCTTCAGAGCGAAGGAGGAAATGTGATTTTTAAAGTTCATTTTGACATTTTAACGAATAAACCGATGAAACTCGAACCGGGACGAGCTCCTGCTGCCAGGGTTAGGGAGGGATGGGATTTGTCCTAGATTTCACTGCAGCGCTAGAGGGCTAGCGGTTAGCCTCGAGCGTGGCTGATCCCTCTCTCTCTCTCTCACACACACACACACACACACACACACACACACACACACACACACACACACACACACACACACACACACACACACACACACACAGTGAGCTTGTGCCACTTGTCAGTCCTCGTCTCGTGGATTAATGGCTGCCAACACTGCAGCGCTCCAGCAGGACAAGATCCGGTCCCGGTAATCTTGGTCGGAGGAGAGCGTCCGGGGGTCAATGCGAACTGGCAGCTGGGGAGGGGGCTTGGCAGCGGTGGGGGGGAGTAGGGACGTCTCCATGTCTTAGCAGTGGGACACAGAGACATCTGAGACAACGGCTGGGAGTTCCCATTTAAAGAGCCGCAGTGGCTCCAGCTCCCGGGGCCCTGAGCTTCCAGGGATCCGGTGCAGAAACAGGAAGTGATGTCATTTAGCTCTAATTCCACTCGTGTTAAATTGTCCCTTTGTAGGTCCTGATGTCTCTGGGAGGTTTAAGCCGTCAGACGGCTGAGGTGCATGTGAGGAGACCGGGACCAGGACAGCCTTTCATCAGAGGCTCGTTCCAGTACACCTCCAGAGCTTCCTGCAAATGATGAACCGACTAGAAAGTGCAACTGAGTGCACGCGCGCACACACACATACACACACACACACACACACACAGGCACACACACGCACACACACACACACTCTGCAGCTCTTTATGATCCGGTGTGGATAACACTGCTTAGACAGGAAGTCACACTTCTAAGATAAGCTTTACGATGAGGCGTGGTGTTTAGACGTCTATGAACTCTGCTGCAGCACCTCGAGAGAACAACCCCCCCCCCCCCCCCCCCCCCCCCGGGCCCGGTTCTGATGCTCCGGTCTGACTCAGACACTAGTTTCCCTCTGGCACCGCGGCTGCTCCGTGTTCTTGGGGCTACGCTAGCCTTCAGGCGCTGATTTACGACCTGCTGCTTCAACACGGCGGTCAGGAATATCCCTGCACGAGAAAGTCACGGGGGCTGCGTCGGCCCTGAGGGGGGGCAGAGGCGTGAGCACGAGTGTTTGTGGCAGAGACAGGATGGGCGGAGTCTCCTCGCCTGGAGACGGTCTGTAACTTATGAAAGTGCCGTTTGACTTCCTGCGCGTCTCGCCGAGACAACAGAGAAGTTGTTTTAATGGATTTTTCTGCCTCCGACCGGAGAAACGTGCAAAAACCGAAACGTGGCGAAAAAAACTGAAAGTTCAGTAAAAATGTGAGTCAGAGAAGTGAAACCCGCGTCCTGCAGTCCCACCCCGATGACCTTTAACCTCGGCACCAGGTTCTCGCCGAGCGTCCCTCCAGCCCAACGCTGTTGGGGTGGATCTAGCAGGAACCCAGCGAAACCAGTCCTGACACGCTACGGACCTGCGTCGAGCTTTGACCTTTGACCTGAAGCCTGAAGAGAGTCTTAGGGTTTGGTCGTTTCCCTGAACTTGACCTCTGACCTTAAGGCTGAACCTGTCAGGAGATTGGCAGCTGTCCCAAATGTTCTCAGCTTGTGAAGACCAAGCAGTTTAGAAATGACCTTTGACCTTTGGTCAGCGACAGACCAGCTCTGAGGTCATTTGTGACGTCGTGTTAGCACACGCCTGTATGCTCCGGGTTGTGATCATTACTGGTTCAGACTGGCGTTAGTCCTGAAACAGAACCGGCCGTTCTGCAGCAGAACTTCTGGAACCTTCTGATGAAAAAAACAACAAACATGGTTTAGATCAGAGAGGAGGAGGGTCTCCAAATCCCCACAATCCTCTCTGATGACGGCCGGCCGTCACCGTAGCGATGCAGAGTCTCAATCTGTCATTTCTGTCAGCCCAGCTGTTTGGGCCCCTCCCTGCTCTCTCCCCGTCTCACCCAAACCCTCACCCGCCCGGCCCGTTCTGTCTATCTGAGAGCGTTTCCTGTGTTGTAGATCACAGGAAGTCCTCGGCTAACGGGCCGAGTCCAGTCGCAGACAATAAACACGAGTCAGCGGCGTCTGAAGCTGAAAGAGACGAGGACCGAATAAAAACGGGATGTTTACGTTTAATTCTCATCTCAGCCAACGTAGAAGTCTCTCAGAAACATCCTCCAGGACTCATGTAGGAGACTAGCGGTTAGCTCATCAATCCGAGGCCATTTTGCATCAAAAACACGTTTTTACACAAAATATTCTTTCAGATCTAATTTTAGACAGAAACAAATGTCTGAAGTTAGAGAGCAGGTCTTCAGAGGTGGACGGATAACTCGTGAACACACCTCTGCTTCAGGAAGGAACCGTGAGGCCCGACCGCGGCGTGTTCGGTTGTGAAACTGGTTTCAGAAGCAAACATCCTCCCAGACGAGACGGAGATAAAAGCAACCTGTTTTCTCGGAGACCGAATGAGGCCCCACCCTGCCTGTGACCTGACTTTGGCCTCCTGCTCGCCTCGCTCAGGGGCCCCTGCGAGCCGTGAAGAGGGTGGGGCCCTTCCTGCAGGCAGAGGGCGAGCATAGCTCACCTTTAGCCCGACCGCAAACCTCCAGCAGGAACAAACAGGTATCAGACGCTCGGCTGCAGCAGCAAAGGGACTGCAGTCATTAGCTGGCAGCCTTGAAGCAAACAAACATGATGCGTGTAGAGCCCCCCGAGGTGTGTGTGTGTGTGTGTGTGTGTGTAACGTGCACTGCCAGCTGAATTGTTATGAGCTCCAGAGGTGAGCTGATTCGTCTGGAGAGTTGAATTCCCACCACCTGTTTATGCTGATTAAGAAGTGGGAGTGTGATGAACGTCGCAGCCCGGAACGCCGACGGTGAAAAAAGAGAATCCTGTTTGTGGGTTCTTGGCCCGGTTCCTCCCACCTGAGGAGTCACCCAGAACAATACGGCCTCTGTCTGAAACCCAGGAAGACTTCTTACGGTCCGGAGCTGCTCAGATCCGATCGGACTCATTATTCAGGAGCTCAGACCTGCTGAGGCGCAGCTTGGCGCTGGAGATGAACCGGTTTGCCGACTAGACTATAAACGACCTCATCTGGTATTCGCTTTGATGTTCGGCGCGCTCAGCACTAAAGTAAGAGTTTATTCAGGAACTAGGAACATTAACAGCAAGCAGGAACTTGTTGAGCGTAACAGGACCGGTGCCCGCCTCCTCCAGGATCCATCTTTTATCCCCAGCAGCTCCGCAAACACCCCAGTGGCTCCCCTCGGGATCGGTCTATTTCCAGCTAGCGGACATTTCCATTGGTGTTGCAACATTTCTGTTATTCTGAATGATTATTTTCATTTCATGGCAGCAAAGCGGCTGTTGTTCCGAAGGCCGGCGCTTCCAGGAAAAGTCCGGGGAGGCAAAACAGGAGAAACCTCCCGGAGATGCTGAAACGGTCCCGGCTAAAGGTCAGGCGCTCGCGTTGGCGGTGGGATCGGGTTCAGCTGCAGCGGAGACTCCGGACTGAAAACCAGACCCATGAGTTTGGCGTTTATGTTTAAAATAGAATTTTCCAGGGGAATTAAAGGCTCCGCACGTGGGAGAAAAGCCGTTTAGATGCATGCCGTCTTTCCCGGGACACTTCCAGACGCAGGCGTGTCCAACGTCGGACTGTCAGTTGTCTGGTTGTGTGCAGGTGAGGAGTTGACATGTCCACCTAAAGGACGCGTTCATCTGTGACACGGAATCTGGTCCGCATGATGAGATCATCCTGAAAATCCCTGGATTTCTACC